GGGAAAAATAATAATAATTTAAATAGGTTTATAAAGGTAGAAACACACCATTCAAATATTTGGTTTTTAGTCTCCTATGCAGGATTTGTGTGGACCAAATGTTAGGAACCAAACAGAAAAAATAAAAGCTTAAGGATCCTTTAATATGCTCTCTTCACTGTCTTCCTGGAATGAATAAAAGAATTTGTGGGAGGGAGGGGTGGGGGGGATAAAGGAGGGGTGGGGGTGGGGGTTGGGCCAAAAGGGATTGAACTCAGAAGTGTTTTACCACTCAGCTACATCACCATCCTCAGTCATTTTTACTTTTTACTTTGAGACAGGGTCTTGCTAAGTTGCTGAGGATGGCCTTGAACTTGCAAACCTCTTGCCTCAGCCAATTGAGTCACTGGGATTATAGGCATGTAACTGAGATTTCAGCCATAGTGCCATGGTGCCACAGCAGCTGGCTGAAGTACTTAACTTTTGACTAACCACATCCTGGTCTCCAAATTATGGATTCAAGTGTTAATTTGACAATAAATGAACATTAATTATAATGAGCTAATGAGTGAACTTTTTCATAAAAGGATGCCAAGAATAATTACATCTACTTAAAACCCGAATCAACACATACAGGAAATCAGGAATGCTAAACCATATTCAGTATATGTTCTCGTGGCATTTCTTTTTCCTAGTAAAAATTACAGGCTATATTAATCCATTTCATTCACTCATAGGAATTAGGACCACTGCATTCAATAAAGCCACACGATGAATAACCTATCTCCTCACCAAAGGTAGAGAACATGTGATGAATAGCCTTGAATCAAATCTCATTATTTATAAGTTATTTGAGTTTTAAGTTTCTTTTCTTTCTTTTATTAAGTAAGTCACTTACTAACCACTGGGAAATAAAAATACCCTCACTTTGAAAGAAATTAAAGACTGGGAAGTATACAAATTCATACATGACTATTAAAGAAAATATGGCATAGGCTGTGGTTGTGGCCCAGAGGTAGAGCACTTGCCTAGCACATGTGAGGCATTAGGTTCAATCTTCAGCACTACATAATAAAATAAAGTTATTATGTCCATCTAAAACTAAAAATGCTTTTAAAAAGAAAAATATAACATGAGGTTCAAAGTAAATTCTATAGAAGAGTGAAGTTAATTTCATCTGGGAGGATCTGAGGTAGGCTTTACAGTCTTTATAGATTTTTAAGAGTAAGATTCAAAGGTTAGCAACTGGGTGATGGGCACAAGATTTAGAGAATGAGGAATAATCCATGGTTCAGGTACAAGATTGTCTATAAGACTAGAAAGGTAGATTGAGCTCAGACTGTGGAAAACGTGAATATTAGATACAAATTAATTTTGAGGAATCAACGATTTCTGATCAAGGCAATAACATATTTTAAACTATGTTTAGAGAAATAAATAGCAACAGTGAGAAGGATGGATAAGAAGAAATGAGATGTCAATTTAGGAGACTGAAAAACTATTTAGGCAAGGGGCTAGGAATTTGGTAGAGTGCTTGCCTAGCACTGGGTTGGAGTCTCAGCATCACATAAAAATAAAGATATTGTGTCCATATAAAATATTTAAAAAAAATAATTAGGCAAGATGTTATAAATCTAACCATGGATCTAGATGTAGGATCAGTAGAATGCCCTGTACATGAGGTGTTGCTTAGAGGGTTAGACTTACAGGACTTAGGAAGTAACTGACCGGGCGCTAGAGAGCACAAGGAATAACTGGATTTATAATTTTATAAATCAAGAGACTGGGTGAATGGTGATGCTTTAAGGGAGACCAGGGGTAGAGCAAGTTTTTGCTAGAAAGACAATGAATTCTGGGCTGGGGATGTGGCTCAAGCGGTAGCGCGCTCGCCTGGCACGGGTGCGGCCCAGGTTCGATCCTCAGCACCACATACAAACAAAGATGTTGTGTCCGCCGAAAACTAAAAAATAAATAAATAAATATATTAGGAAAAAAAAAAGACAATGAATTCTTTTTTAGCCTTCTTGAATCTGAGGGCTTAAGGGATATTCATAAAGAGATGTCTGATCTGACAGATAATCTGGCAGGACTGAAGCCTGGGTTAAGAGTTCAGGATCAGAATCTAGATTTGAGATTCACCTCCTGAAGTTGTGAAAACAAATGAGACTACACAAGGAACAGAAAAAGAAAGGAGGGCCAAGAAGAAACCAGCAAGAGAAGGGAAGAGAAGTGGATAAGAACAGAAGTCATCTAGATAAAAGGAAGCAAAAGAGGTGAAAAGGGGAAATCGAAGTTGGGTGCAGTGGTGCATGCCTATAATCCCAGTGACTCAGGAGGCTGAGGCAAGAGTATTGAAAGTTGGAAGCCAGCCTCAGCAACTTAGTGAGGCCCTAAGTAACTTAGTGAGACCTTGCCTCAAAAAGAAAATAAAAAGGGCTGGAGATGTGGGTCAGTGGGTCTGGATTCAACCCCTGGTACCAAAACAAAACAAAAAACAGAATGGAAATCGAGCCAGTTAACTTCATCTCCTATAAATAAATATGACAAAAAGATTAAGGAGGATATTAAAACATATTATTTCCATGTCCTATGTACTTCCTGACCCTGCTCAAAATGTTGAGATTCAGTTTCATTCTCTAAAATTCAATTATGGAATCAAAGATTCATACAATTTATATCCAATATTCATTTGACATACTGAAATACTAATTTTTGAGCTCCAAAATATATGTTCTTACTTGTATAATCTTGCTCCTAAAATGATTTCTAGTATTCCTACCATATTTCCTCAGGATTTCCTTCCAAAGATTCAAATATGTAGCTTCCTGATTAAAGCCATATACATGTTAATGCTGAAATTATATTAATAATAACTATAATCTAGTTTCAAACTGATTAATTATTCCTTTTTTTTTTTACAGTACTGGACTTTCACACATGCTAGGCAAGCCCTCTACCAGTGATGAGTAATTCCTCAACCTAAAGTAGACAAAACTTCC